GACTACATCCATTCACTTGACGCTCTAAAAACCGCTCATTTTAGGTAAAAATGTGGGACGCCTTAATAAGATATGCTTATTCCTATTTTTCATCGCGATGTTCAAATACTAAGGTCTGGTTGTATTAGGTATGAGTTAAAACCGAAGAATACCGAGAATGAACATTTTGGAAATCGTCTAAATCGGATTACAGTATTATACGCTTGCACTGTATTAAAAGGTTTGCGTCCTTGTAGGAGATATCTACAATAATGAAAGCCGGTTTTTAGATGTGAATTTGATGAACACGCGATACAGTATCATATCAATGCAAAAATCTATCTGGATAATAATAATGATAATACTACAACAATGGAACTGACAGACGTTCTCTTTTCGTATCCATTATCCTTTATCGTGTATGTATATTTGCAGATGTACATACACATGCCAGAGGCAATAGAAACGTTTTTCTATACAGAGTAGTTTGCGTTCCCATTTGTGGTTACTTACATGTCATTCGTGCGCCCTTTCCACTGTGTGTGTAAAGTGTAAGGATAATTCCTTGGGGGACACAGTTGTGACCGTCGTTAGTAGGGAACGGCAATTGAACTCAAATCGATTTCCCCTCCTTGATTAAAAAGTTCACTCCACCCGCCATATTGTGACTGACTATATACATACACAAACACTGTACGTACAGCGCACCACTGAAGTTGTACACATACAAACATGTATTCATGTATAAGTGGTGTGAACCGAAATTGGCCAAATATGATGAATAATTTGCCAAAGGCTTTAGCTGGCAAAAGCAATTAGAACCATGGTTTGTTAGAACTCAGCGACGAACGTACAGAATCCTGATTTTTCTACATTTTGTATACGTAAGACTATGACTGACGAACTCCTATAGTATCTGGCAAATTATTCACGTTATTACTATTCTAGTACTATTCCATCAATTGTTCACCTTATTTGGCCAGTTTGAAGCATTCTTCAAGCGGCCGAAGTTGTCTGGTACACGGACTAACAACGTGCCAGCCTGTCGTATTTATCGAGTACTTGTGACACACATACACATACAATAGTCGATCAGGAACGGAGGGTATTATCATAATCCCAATTTACACGCCCATATCCCCCATAACAAGGAGTGAATTGTTGCTCCCGTTTCCTTCCATCCATCATGAGTAAATGGCACGGGGAACAGTGATGTATGAATGACACATAGGTGTTACGCTTAAAACATCACTTCATTTTCATATTCCTAATTTTCCACGCCGATTTGTCCTTCTTTTCAACTCCTAGTAACTGTTGCTTGGTCATTAGCCGGAACCCCTGTTTAGTACCATCCCGCGGGAGAAATACACTTTGTTGCTGCGAGTCAAGGTTTTTCCTACGATTAGTAATGCCATCGTTGCTTCCAGCTGTTTAAGCAAAGAAGTTCTGATAGAATTAGAGCATAGATATAACCTTAACTGTCTGCTCATTGTTACAGTTTCCCAACAATCTATGCACCTTCGCTGCGATACGCTTGCCCCCTGTTAAAACCCGTGCGAATATTAACGGTTTGAAAGCTTCTCCGAATCCCCCAAACGACGAATGCTTTTAGCCGGGAAAACGGAAAGGAACGGCCGGGGGAATTGGAACCTTAATCAACAGACAGTGAAAAACGTATTAACGCTTCCATTAAAATTCCTGCTCTGTGTGGAAAGAGTTAAATGAGTGCTAATCGTTTTGAAAATGTGCATGAGGCATTAGCTAATGTGCGTGTGTACACGTTAATTGGACGACATATTGCGCAATAAACGACATTTGTTATCGAACTAGATGTATAATTAGAATCTTTGATGCGTTAGCTTAGAGCGTTATTTCAAAGGGTGGAATTCTAAGATTAGATCTAAGATATCATGCTCAGGTGCAACTCTGTACTGAAATAACATAAAGACAACATATTGCACTACTCGTCAAGAATCAACATTTGTGATTAAATTCTAATGAGAATCTTAAATCCGTTTGAGAATTATCATTAATGCCAGACACACACACAGACATACACACACAGACAAGTTAAACTTAAGAAAACTAATCTTCCAAGTAACATATAGAGAGAGATCATGTCCAACCCAACATTCATTTGAAACATTCACATAGTATATCGTTCTTTCACTAAGCCGGCAAAACAATTAAAAACGTAGCAATTCATCCGCAACACATCATAACAGGCAATTCGTGAAGTATCCCTTAAGTAAGACTGTGGTAGTTTTGTCTTGACTTGTCGTGTTGTAGTCTCATTTTGCATGGAAAATTTTATTCAATGGCGCTCGATGCTTGAAGAAACCAAAATCGGACATCATCTTAGAACGTGAATGACATGTTATAAATAGAATGATTTTAAAGCGTATGTTAGTTTTAACGGCAATTATCTTGTTGGAAGGCAAATATTGATAGCAACATTTTGCAGACACTTCGTTGAAGAAGATGAATAGTTGCAACTTGAAACAGGTCATGATATAACAAAAATAAGCCTCAGATATGATAGACGCAAATGAATAGCAGACAAATATTAAATAATTCCAATTTCATTTTCTGTCGGCTGCAATTACCAACCATTTAGGCATTGTGTACATAACTGTAGCGCTTTTGTCATTTTTTTTCTTTGTCTGTTTCTTGTAGAAAGAAAGGAAACGGGGAAGTAAGCAACTGTAGTTATCTTTTACAATATACTGGAGGTTTGGGCTATCTACGTTTAACACAGATCTAGATCTAGTATCAGAATCTTACAGATTTCCAGGCATATTCTGCAATATTAACAAATACATATACGTATGGTGCCTGAAATATACCGTTCAAATCTGTCGTGGTAACCCATGGTTTTGTTGTAACTCCCCTGGTACTGACAACACAGACTGGACATGGGTATGATAAGAGATAATACAAGGTATGGTATCTTCATATAACAGACAACTGGCAATAGATTCACAGGTATGCTTCTCTCACTACCGACATTTCATCTAAATACTTGACAAGTACGCTGCACTAGAAGGCTCGCCACTAGCTTGACATTGTTTAAACCCTATCGGAAAACGTGTAAACACACAAGACAACAACAGAAGCCTTTACGCCATGTGATGTGTAAAACACACTGAAAGATTATGAATTTTGTCATCGCAACGGTGTGTTTTCGTTCTAATACGACAGTGACAACGTGCCATATGGCCTAGGGTAGGCTGTAGAAAAATATGAGGGGGATGTGGGATCACTGACGTCGTTTATAACGGACAGGAATGTCCTAATATCCTGAATGACAGAGCGACATGAAGCACCTGTCCTGTCTCACATGACAGACACCTAATTTTGACCGTTATGTCCGTTATCGCTACCGATCTCTTTTGTAAGACGGCCTTAACACGTTGCTATATCTTGCTTTTCTTCACGAATTGTGTATAGTTTAGGATAAACAGTTTAGGATACCAGTACTGTTTTTCAGCATGATAAAGTTGCTGAAATATTTTCGCGAACAAATGTTTCAAATGTCAGGTCAAATGATACTTAATATATTAAGACAACAAATTGATAGTCACCAGTCAATGTTGTGTTTATTATATCTGGCATTACGCAAGAAAAATCATTTAGTTGTTGCCAAAATAGCATTTTATTCTACATTCACACACGCACATATGTACAGTTTACCAAGAATTCTGAGAAGGCACTATATTGAAAAGTCAAGAGTACGTATATTGTGCGAGACAGGCTTTGCGCAACCGAAAAGCCTCACCCGTCCACAACATCAATATCAAACCGGTCTGATGATATAGCAATGATCTTGACAATTCGTCACAGAGAAATACCGTAGGCTTAGGACGCACATTTTCACTATCGAGCGTATGATGATGTATGATATAGAAAAAGAACATTTTAGATTCCCATCAAGCGACCATTAATGCACACATTTTAAAGTGGTGATGGTGTGTACAACAATAGCCTAACCCTGCAATTACTAGCAATAAACGTGGACAAGTCCCAGAGGTCCAGACTTCCCTTCCTGGTAGCGCGCGCTGGGCGCGGGGAATTGATCTATAATCGGTTGCTGATGAAAAGGCGGATGAAAGGATAATTTGACGTCCATGCAATTATACTTCCTGGCTCGTGTGGTATAAAAATATAAAAAAATACAAAAGGATTTTTTGTTGTAAATATAGATCTGTATTCATCCTATGTTGCACACGTTTTTGTTCGCAACAATCGAATGTTTGAACAAAATGTAACACAAATAACCGCCACGTTATTTGTTTTAGCGAATTTCAACCAGACTATCATGAAGTCCTTGTCAATTACAGCTAATTCCGGTCGTAAAATAGTCCACGTATCCTGTTCTTGAAATACATCTTAGGAAAGTACTGATCTAAATTTAATTTGATATATGCCTTGTTTGTATTTTTAGCTATATAAAACTACACCTCAAGCCCAAATACAATAAGCGACCATGTTGATCAAAATTTGGGGTACTGTCAACTTCCGAAAGAATGTTATCGTCCTAAGTATAAATACGGAATTGTAAATTGTTGCTACATGTATATAAGGAAAAACGTGGTAACATTCGGATGTTGTGGGTAACTAAACAAGATTCGTATCGCCTAGCTTAACATACAAACAAGATACGACCGACATTACTCACCCTAGAGCGTATATATACTGTCCCAAGCTAGAAACATCGCCGTGTACGTGTGAACACAGCCGCGGCTGTATATACTTCACCCCGGCCCCGGCTTACTACAACTGACAACGGACATCTGGCTAGTCCTGGTACAAGGGAAGAACTAAGCTGAGAATCCTGCTCTTATCAACAAAACGACACTCCGACGGTCCCAGCGGTTGGCACGAGATACACTGGATTTGCTGTCTTCTTGTTTGTCTAAGCTCAAGTGAATGTTGGCTTAAAGTACCACAGCGTAACAACAAGGAAATACATGGGTTACGATATGCAGACGCTCGGTTTAGATCCCTACGTTCCCGCTTACCTTCGGTTATACGCCGCAGCTTGTCCCGTACGTACCAAGATTTCTCGTCGGGCCGAGGCGCTTCCTAACCCCGAGCGTTGATGAGAGGCCGTACGCTGAACACGCCTGTAGCGGTCTGCTTGTGTGGACAGGCGCGTATGGTTGATTGTGTTTAATTGGTTGTGTGCTGCCCTTATGATAATGATGATGGGAGTATAAAGGCCGTCATTGGCGCCATGTGTGCATCCTCTCCCTGTTGATACGGACACTCCAGAGATCACCACTCATCTCAGATCCACGGCAGATAGATAGAGCACGTTTCGCAAACTCTGGAGCCGGCAGACGTGCACAGATCTGGACTCTATGCCGTTTTCACGTCAGTTTAACAGGAACAACCATTTCAATACAATGTATACGGGCTTTAATTTTAAAGCACGTCTTACACATAATAATCTAGTGGAAAAATGATACATAAAAGTTTATTAACGTTATCATTGAGAATTAAAACGGGCTATGGTATCTCTGGGCCCACCGGTAGCGGTACAGGTAAGGTACAAAGCGGCATGTCCACCCATGGGAGAACACCTGGTGCGGAAATACGCCACGAATCGACAGAAGAAATAAAGCTTCGCGACCATCAAAGTGACGTCTGCATTCAAAGTAGCTCATCACATATTAATTTGATGTATATATTATAAATTTGATCCATCTGTAGCGCGATGGTCGTTTGTATGTGACCGGCCCGGGTCCGTCTGTGTGTCAGGTATATAAATGTCTATAAATGTTTCTATCATCTGGACATTTTAAACTTGACTTTAAACAGTGATTTTTAGGTCAATCAACTGTTTTCTATGCATAAAATTTCAATAAAGACGGCTTTTGTCATCTGTTATTCCTATTTAGAACATGAACGTTTTCGAAGGAAAATACAATACTGTCTCTCTACCTCTACTTCAAAACGTTAAAATTTTTGTCCACAGACGACAAAACAAGATACAAGATGTCTGTAGTGCATTAAACTGTTTCTAGTTGAAGTGGTGCGTCTAAACAATTCTCTATTAAAAGCCAGGTGTCGCCTTTCCTGCCTAACTCTGCGACCTCGCGGTACTAAGCGCTCATTACTGCCTAACAAAAGTGCCTAACTCACGTGGCATAACCTACAACCACACAGTGACCACACTGTTTGTCAAAAGATACATGATTGGAAATCAAACACTCTGGTGAACTGCCTATTTCTATCGTTGCAACATGGCCTTATATAGGGGTGTTTGGATGTGACGTCACAGCCGCCATGTTGGTTGGTTAAACCTGGAAGAGTCTTACCCAAAATACGTGTTAAGTGTGCTTACGTCATCACTACGTGACTTCAATTACATTTGCGAATTCAGATTTTCCAGGTGTGAACATACAGCATGGATGACAAATACTTACGTCATAGTCACGTGAGAGCAAACGCCAGAAGGGGAGGAAAAGCGGCGCGGCGAAGTAAGCGAAGCGGGAGGTTATTCTTTAGCTTTGGCCAGAACTTATAGAGCCATATACTACATTTTTGTCCTGGAAGAATAAATTCAGTTCTTTTTTTAACGTTAAGCACCATCTTTATTCGTGGTCCACACTGTATTGTTGTTGTTGGAATTTGAATAAAAATAAAGTCAAACCCACCACCGCCACCATGAAACCTCGAAACCCAATCCAACAGGTGAGGGATGGAGACGGAAAAGTTTCACTTATGTTTCTACCGAACACTTTTCCAGTTCTCTCAACAGAGTCGGCGGACGGTATCAACTTCCTGCCACATTTGACCAATCGCTGACGTCCATGATTGGTCACCTCAACTAGACTACCTGAACTCTGAGTAAGAATGCAGTATAGGACAGTCGAAAATTCATCTCGCTACCCTCTGTTTTTGTTGGAACCAGAATTATTTAGCTTCGAAAAAAAATTTACAAGTCACGAAGCAAGACATTTGAGAACGTTCGAAGGCCTACCAAGTGTACATGTATAACCAAAGCAAGCAAGTTTGTGCCTCCTTCATTCCAAAAGACGTGGAAGTACAATAGCTAATGGCAAGTCTAGCATCTCTTCATGAGAAACAAAACGCAGTATTCTCACATCTGTATGATTTATCACACCGAATGAGACCCAATCTTCATCCATCAGACCAAACCGTTCGGCCCAGACAGGTCCATGAATAAAATCTTACACCGGAAAATCGCTGTAGCCTTTTTTGATTTGCTTATAAATTGATTTTGAAGTGCTCCATAATTGTCCCGTTGGATGGGATAAGAAGAAAGAAGGGCAGTGATATTACTGTCTGGGTTCGGGTTTTGATTGTTGTATCATTTCCTTGTAAATGTGGTCTTTTGAAAAGCCATTAGAACCGCCCACCTCTCTACTAGATAGATAGCCGAGTCTTAAATGTGTTGCGCGGTTCCCGAGGGCTGGTTCCAACTTCCAGGGAACTTGCTGATTTCGTGCGTCTGTTCTACCTTAAATGCCAATCATTTATCACCAAATTTCGCTCATAATTAGATCAAATGAATCAAATTCAATTGGTGGAAGGCGGTGGAACGATGCGCGCCACATGTACGTTATGACTGGGTATCTGTCACTGTTGAGATAACTAGATTACCGCCTTTCTGTTTTAATCATCACCTTCATGTCCCGTTAAGATTTCCGTTGATGATTGCGTACGCGTATTGCAGTAAAAGTTAATTGGCCACCGGTTTGATCTATCACAAAGCCTTTTAAATTTGAATCTATGGTGAACATGTCCTGTCGCGTCTGCAAAGAAATGTTTACAACAACATTGGGGCCACTAGCTAGTATGGCCTATCATCGACGGGTTAGGGTCTGGTGTCGCATTGGTCGTACAACAGGTTTGCGACGACAGCAAATTGAGGGTATTCCTGAGACAGTCAGAAATGTGCCCTACGGCTGTTTTGTCAAGAAGAAAGTTGTAACAGATCATTGTGTCACACGTTTCTGTCATAAAAGTTTCGCAAGTCCAACGAAAGAAAAAATGTGACGAATGTGACCGCACATTTATATAATAGTGTGCTACAAAACACCAACGAATGATGGGGCTTGGAATGCGTAGAACTAACAATGTTATACACGGTTGTCATTGTTAGTCAGCTCGCTACAACCATACATATACTACAGCGACAGTCGTTTGTCACAACTGTCAACGAACAAAGCAAGAATATTATAATATAATCACATACACACACTTTTACCACAAAACCTGACCAGACTCGCCGTAGACAATTGCCAGAATGATATCTCCAACCTAAATACTTAAATTACCAATAATCACAAATACAATGTCTTTCACCCTTATTATTAATCAATATGAGAGAAGAACTGCCTTAAAAATTTAATTCGCAAATGTATAACATTGTCAATGCGCATGCCTTAGTAACATCACCATTATAATTTCATTGTAACATTTGCCATTGTAAAAGTTGTATTTTCTTTATTCTTGCTATCATGATATTTACCACGCATGCAAGTTACTATTATGAGTGACTCGTGCAGAATTCCTGGCGGTCAACTCGAGAAAGAAAGATGGATGTTTTTTATTTTATTTTAGACGCTGATGCTGGGTCTCAGATAAATAAACATCACAAATATTCTTCGACATGGGGGAAAACATTCCTGGCCAACGATATTTCAATTCGTAATGGAAGACTCGTTTATGTTGCTTGAAGTCTAACATTCTATCGCCATATTCCCATTTTGCGGTGCTGTAGAGTAGAAGTTGAATTGTGTCCCCTCATTTCTACCACCCCATCAATTCTATCGCACCTCTGACCCCGCCGCAGCAAACCATAACTGTCCGGAGGACAGGGGGTCAAGCGTACGCCGCTCTCATGAAGTGAATGCTTTTGACCCAGACATGTTCGCGCCATGCTAGCTTGACTCCCGCCAATTACCCGCTCAGATTTCCCGCCTGCCTGTCACTTAGCTTGTAGCCAGCCTCTCCAAAACCGTTCCAGCTTCGTGTCTGACGGACAATTATCCGGAAAACCGACCGTTTTTACACTTGAACTACCAGAGTAAAACTTTGGGGGGTAATGCCGTCATGTTATCAGCACCGCGGTACAGCTATAGCGAGGGGAGAAAACACATGCACAGGATGATGATGGCTTTAACGAATTTCTAACATTTGCGTCGCGCTTTGAATACTTATCTAAATGAGCTGTGTGTGGGCAGTGCCTTTTATTGCTCCATTTGTCACACGTTGCTGCCTAGCTAGCGCGTTCAGACTGATTTTAAGATTCCTTGAGCCACACGAGGCATCGCATTGTAGCTTTAGGTTAGGCATGGCAGCTCTATATATCATCAGGTTATATACTGAAACTCTATCATATTTTAAAGATACTTCCAACAAACACCGAGAAAAATGAAAGACATTTCGCCGGCGCCCTTAAACGCTTTACACTAAGAATAGCAAGTCATGAAAATTGACAACAAATACGATATTTGAATCAATGGAGCCCATTGAAACACGTGAAGACCAGGTCATCAGATTGTGGTACTATACCAGAAAGTTAACTGGTACAATAACTATTGAAATGCTTGAAGTTATTGATGAAGACTCCATTTTCCCTCCATATAAATATCACTGGGTGGATCACTTAACTTGTGTTTTGCGTAATACGGGCGAATGTGAAAGTTATATACGGCTATTATTTCAAATTTAGAAAATAAGTAACTGACTTTATGAACTAGGCCTGGTCTGAAAGCCATTGATAAAGTGTATCATAGCTACAGTCAAGGCTATGCTAACTCAGACTGCTCATCCTAATGGCAGAACAATGCAAGGCAATTGCCTTCTCCAGCTTCAACAGAGAAGCCTTCACATTCATACACATATACATAACCGTTTCCATATTCTGAGCTGGGCCCCAGCGATAAATAACTGTAACAAGGTGGCGCTTGTAGGGTAAAGTAAAGCAATTGTGGTCAGACCATTATGTACAGGAAATGGCGCGGCGTTACAACCCATTACCTGATGGGCGCATCATCCTTTGTCTTAATAGCTAGACACTGATGGCCCTCTACATCAACGTTAATGGACGGATTATGTTGTCCCCATCTAAGGCTTTAATGCCATGATTTTTCATCTAACCCAAACGACGCAGTTGAGAGAACGACCGGGCTATCAAACAAACAAGACCGTGGCACACCGACCGTGGGCGGATTTAATCGTTGGTGTGTGAGACGCCATTAAAAACATCGGAGTGACGTGTTTCGGTTGGGGGTGATTGAAAGACGTAAAAGACACAAGAATGATTTGACGATTACTTCTATTTACCATTTTATGAGCAAACTACATTGCCACGATGCTAGATAATGTGGCATAATTGTAACAGAAAGTGTCGGTACACGAGGAAAGGACAATATATTAAAGACCACCTAGAGCAGTAGATCTCGTCAGATGTACCATATCTGTTGAGATATTATGATTCCGTTATGTTGTTTCGTCGGATTTCTAGGAATGTCTAATTATCAGTAAAATAATTACAGAAATAATGCTAACATTGCGCGCTTGATAAACAGACGTGCATAAGTTGCGTTCATGACGAGTACTATGAACAAGTACAAGTACTATAAACAAGAACTAGATAGAAATATTAGCGGTTGCTAATATAGACAGGTTCGCGTTGTAGTGTAAGCTAAATCGGCTAAGATTGCACAACAGACGTGGCCCATGACCTTCGACCTTTTGGGGGTCATGCAGGCGTCAACAGCGCCCTCCCCACGCCTCGCCCGTCCGTTTTCGTGGGCAAATTTCTGCTTTTTTTTAGAGGTTTCGGGACCTAAAAACTCACACCAGGGGTAGAAATAAGCCACATACGTTATTTTCATGGTAAACATCGCTAAAATGGACCAGCTATATCACACCGAACGGCTTGTTACACTCAATCTTTGCACATTTGATTGGGTTGCAGGAGTTGTTTAAAGTTGAACACACCACAGCTTCAAGGCCACATACTCGCCGCACATACTCCTGTTTACCTGAGGGAGTATCGGTGTATGTAGCGCCACAAGCTGTGTCCTTGAGAGTGCTCAGACTGCCAACTTTGGCCTGAGGTTATGGCGAAGGGAAATGAGGTCACGGAGAACAGAACAGATTCGGTGGCACTGCATTTTCCCTGTTTAGACGGGAATACGAAGAGATACAGAAAATGTGCTGTGTCTCAGCCCTTTCAATGCAGGATGATTTGTTTGAAAAATCTCCGAGAGAGGATAACTAAACAACCATTTGACGGGTCGTCGTGATTTTTTGTATGTAGGTAGCTTAAGTGATGCTTGACACAATTAAACTACAATTATGCAAATCAGGATCTAACTTTCATAATTAATGTGGACATTCTATAAATCTGCTTTATTCCATATTAGGGCTATGAAACACTTGTGA